TCCCTGGAGTCCCACCAGGCTAAGGCTGTTAACCCAGCAGCGCTGCCTGGGAGGCGGAGCCAGCGGCGAGAGCAGCGTCACCTCTTTCCTTCGCTCGTGTGCGAGAGGAAGAGAAAACCACCGCGTGTTGCATCAGCTAAAAAGGGCAGGTTGGTTGTCATCTGCTCCCCAAACTGTCCCCTCCCTTGGCTCACCGTGGGCAGGGCTGGCCAGAAACGTTTTGACAAAGCCCGACAAGGTAAATGGGGCTGTGCATGGTCACACTTTCCTGCTGTCTGCAGAGTCAAGGTTTTTTTTCTAAATATTCTTTTTCAATTTTTATTTTGCAATAGCAGGTACAGGAAATGATGCCACGAGCAAAAAAAAAGTTCACTGAGAAGATGATGTAACTCTGTAATTTGCAGATCTGGGATCTAGGCACAGATCATTTATAATTTCCATGTCTTCTGTGTTGAGTCTTTGTGGTACATGGGAGATGCAAAAGAAAGGAGATGGGGGTGCTTTACCTGTACAAGAACAAACACTGCTCTTCAAACAACAAGGTAATCTCTAAATCTGTATTTCAGAAGCAGTAGGCCACACTCTGTATTAAATACTGACAGTGCTGTTCCAGAAAATGAGATGTGAAAGAACGAGATTGTTCTCTACGCGTTTTTTTAAATTATAAAATAGGATACTTTACTTTTTTAGTACATTCTTAGAATAGTTAAAATAATATCAAAACGTTATATTTATTACTTTAATATTAAAATAATATTAAAACTTCAGATTTATAATAGTGTTTCTTCTCTGTTTCTGGGTCAGCGAACTTCAGTTGTCAACTTCCTCATCTTCTGGGATTCATCACTGTAAGTGCAGTCATCAAACTTTCTTTTAGGAGCCTTCCCAGGTAAAAAGTGCTAAAACAATGCAGCCAAATACATCCCAAGCTACAGGTTACAGCCCTCTAGAGCTGTGAGTTCTAAGTATTTCCTAGAACAATACCCCTGGGACTCGTGACAGCTACGCTGAAAATGAAAGCCTTCCGTATTCACTTCGGGATCAGAGGAATAACTCGAAAGACAAACATTTTAATTCATTTTCAGGGTTGCCTGTCAAACAAGGGCTCGGCAATCAAAGGCTGACAGCTTCCTGTCCTGGGGCGAGTTGTCTCACCTCGCTGAGGTGGCTGCAGTCCAGGTTCTCCTGGCTCTGACTCCACTGCAAACATCTGCCCTGGCAGCGGCTCATCCTGGTGCTGTCTGTGTGTACCTGAAAAGGAGGAAAATGTTCTCACACTTGGTGGGACAAAGTGGCAGCTACTTAGAAGAAACTCTGGAGCTTCTTCACGGGTTTTCAGGGCTCTTAGTCTTGGGGGAAAAAAAAAAAAAAGAAAACAAAACCCAACCTAAACCAAAAGCGAAAACAGAACTCCACTGACTGCGTCTGGATACCTTTTCTGAAATTTTATCTTGTACTAATCTCCAGTTCAAATAGGGAACTGTAAATCATCCGAGGTAAAACAGCTGACAATGCATTTCCTACCTAAAATGTAGCAGTCTTTCTGCAGGAACGATGATCAACAACAGCCATGCTGAGCACACAGGCCAACTGCATGATGTGGATGGAAGCAAAAACATCTAAAACCATTTAATTCAATTTTGAATGCTAGGGAATCTCAGTATTAAATGGTTTCTGTGAGCCAGCTGCTGTTACTACTACATGGGCTATCAACTTCTACTGGCTGGGCTCTAATTCCTAGAAATTGCTTTATGCCAAAGTCATTACTGCCTAATTAGAGCCCGCAAGAAACAAGGGGATGAGCCAGGGAAGTTCCATGGCACTGTGGGCACAATTGCATGTTCACAGGCTGCTGCCAGACACAGGGAGCGCAGCGGTTGGCTGGTCAGGCTTCTACAAAAATGCTTTTGTGGCTGCCTCTAAGGGCTGGGAATTTATTATGGGCAGTCATTTCACCCATGGATCACCAGGTTCTTATTCAGAACCAAGACTGCAGAGTTTTCCTTTGCCCTTCCTTATTTCTTTTGTTTCACCAGAGGGCTGAGTTCTCTCTAGAGATCTGGTTTGGGAGGGAAAGACTTGTTTTTTTGCTGTGAAACAAAAACTGTGAGAGCCAAAGTTATTTAACTATGCAACATTTTCTAAATAAATAAATAAAAAAAAATCCTTAGAATGCAAAAGACAATGTCCATAATTTATTTTTCTAATCTATTACTTAGCCATTCTTCATGGGGAAAAAGTCATGATTGTAATTGGGTTTTTTTCCCAATTTTGGACAGTAGAAGAAATGTATATCTGATATTTGGGTTAAGAAGAACCTTATCTGCTTAGCTGTTACTTGATCTTTTTTCAAAAGCACATAAATTTCAGTCACTTCTATTGCAATGTTTTTGTGGGATTTGTTTGTTTGGTTTTTTTTTAATTGGGTGTGCAAAACTAAAGGTATTTGGAAAATTTCTGCTGCAATTTAATTTATACCACACAGAAGAGAAGCTGGATTTAGTTTGAGATTTTGTAAAATGCTTTGTCAATGAACCACATAATGTATTAAGCAGATATATAATCCATGCATATTAATGCAGGATTGAATGCTGGAAGCACAAGCAGCAGGAGAAGGCTCAGGGAAGGGACAATGGATCAGGCCAGCACACTGCTTGTCATCCTCTGATTTCCCACAAAACCTTTCCAGAAAGTTGGATTTTACCTTAACATGGGTGTGTCAGGATTCCACCTTCTGAGGAGAAAACCTGTCCTGCTTCTGGATTCCAATTCCTGAGGGGAAAACCTGCCCTGCTTCTGGATATCACTTCCTGAGGGCATGAGTTTTTCCCCTCACAGTCACCTTTATTCTGAAAAAGGGAAATGGAAGAACATCTTGGTCCTGCACCGAGTTTTGCCCTCATGGGCACCTTTATTCCCCAAAGGAGAATGAAAGAGCATCTTTTCCTCCCACATGGATACCTTTACTCCCTAAAGGGGGAATGGAAAGTCATCTCTCTCTCACACTGAGCTTTTCCCGCATGGGAATCTTTATTCCCTGAGAGGGGAATGGAAGAGCATCTCCTTCCCACCCTTCTCCCCTCACGGGCATCTTTTTTCCACATGAGGGGAACAGAAGAGCCTCTCCCTCCCTCCTGCGCCAAATTTTCCCCTTACGAGCACCTTTATTCTCCCAGGGGGAATGAAATAACCCTTCCCTTCCTCCCTCTCTACCTCCCGTGCCGAGTTTTCCCCTCACGGGCAGCTTTATTCCCTAGAGAGGGGGAATGGGAGAGCATCTCCCTCCGTCACCTACCTTTCCCTTTACAGGAACATTTATTCTCGTAAGGGAATGGAGAATATCCCTCCTGCGCTGAGTTTTCCCCTCACGGACACCTTTATTCCCTAGGGCGGGAATGGGAAAGCATTTCCCTCCCTCACACGCTTTTCCCTCACGGGCACCTTTATTCCCCAAGAGGGAATTGGAAGAGCCTCTCCCTCCCGCCCTTTTTCCTTCCCCTCACGGGCACCTTTATTCCCTAGAGGGTGATGGAAGAGCATCTCCCTCCCTCACACGTACCTTCATTCTCCAAAGGGGAAAGGAAGAGCATCTCCTTCCCGCTCTTTTCTCCTCACGGGCACCTTCATTCCCTAGGGGGAGAATGGAATGTGAGCATTTCCCTCCCTCACACTCTTTTCCCTCACGGGTACCTTCATTCTCCAAAGGGGAAAGGAAGGGCATTTCCTTCCCGCCCTTTTCCACTCACGGGCATCCTTATTCCACATGAAAGGAATGGAAGAGCATTTCCCTCCCTCACACTCTTCCCTCACGGGTACCTTCATTCCCCAAAGGTTTCCCCATTTCCTTCCCGCCCTTTCCCCCTCACCAACACCTTCATGGCGCAAGAGGTAATTGGAAGAATCTCTCCCGTGCTTTTCCCCTCGCGGGCACCTTTATTCCTCAAAGGAGAATGAAAGAGCATCTTTCCCTCCCACACTTTTTCCCCCTCACGGGCACCTTTATTCTCCTTAGGGAAATGGAGAATATCCCTCCCGCGCTGAGTTTCCCCCTCACGGGCATCTTTATTCCACAAGAGGGGAACGGAAGAGCACCGCCCTCACGGGCACCGCTATTCCTCCCACAAGGGGTATTGGAGGAGCATTATCATCCCTCAGGGGCACCTTTATTCCCGGAGCGGGGAAGGGACGAGGCTCTCTCCCTCTCCCCCTCACACCGAAGGCTGAGCGGTGCCCGCAGCCGCAGCTCGTGCGCGCGCGCCGGGCGCGAGTCCTGCAGCGGTTTGGGGCGCGGCCCCGCCCCTTTCTAATCGCGCCGCCATCCCCGAGCGGCGGCGGAGGGATACCCGGGCTGCGGGCGGAGGGATCCGCACGCCGGAGCCGGCCCCCGGGCAGGGAGAGCGGGAGGCAGGCAGGGAGGGAAGGAGGACGAGGAGGGGGGCGAGCGATGCGGCGCGGCCGCGCTGGCTGAGGCGAGGTGGCCCCGCAGTTGGGGAGGGCGAGGGTGGGGAGCGGAGCGGAGCTGGTGCCGCGGGAGCCTTGGCGGGGCGGCGGGAGAACAGCTGGGGAGGGGTCGGGGGGCGCTCCGGGAGCGGCGAGGGGAGAGCGGAGCCGGAGGGGAGCGGCCAGCGCGGGGGAAGGGCGAGGCTGCGGGGCCGGGCGGCGTGTGCCGCTCCTGCCGCTCTCTGGCGTCGCAGTTCAGTGGAAAAGGGAAGGGATAGAAAAGGGAACTGATTTGAAATAGCCCCCGATCCCTGCGGCGGCCGGTTCCCCGTCGGTGCCATCGCGGGGGGGCAGCGGGGCTCTGGTGCAGCCGCAGCCCGGGGGGTTCGGCTGCCTGAGGGGCGGGGGTCGCTGCCCTCGCTGCTCCGCTCGCCCGGGCTTGGGGCTTTTTTTGTGGGGAAGGGGCAGGATGAGCTTGCGGAGTTCGGCTGGAATTTCTCCTTCCTTTCTGAGGCGCTGCCGCTGCTGAAGCAGATTTTTCCTTCCTCTCTCTTTTTTTTTTTTTTTTTTTTTTGTCTGATGCAGAATCCCAGTAGCTAGGCAGCCTCCCTCTTTTCTTTCCTTCCTTCCTTCCTTCCACCCCTTCGCTATGTAGGAAGGGAGAGGCATCAATGGAAAGGCTGAAATTCGCGTAGATGGACTTTCGGATGCATTTTTTCTTGAAAGAGGAAGATAAATCCCGCTTGCCAGTGCACTGACTTTTGTTGCTGTTGAATCGCTCGGTAAAAATGGGGTTCACTCACTCCAGCTGAATCCTTGGAGCGTTCCAGAGAGTTGCTGCAGTGCAGGACTTATCTTTAATTTTTTGCGTCGGAGGAGCTGCATTGATGTTAACCATTTTTTTGTAAAATGGAGAACGAGATCTTCACACCCCTTCTGGAGCAGTTCATGTCGAGCCCTCTTGTCACCTGGGTAAGCGTTCATTTTCCCCTCGCCCATTCCCGGTTTTATTCCGCTCATTGTTCGAGGAGAGCCTTGCGGCAGGGGAGCGAGGTGGAGTTGGTGTCACGGTGCTGCTGCTGCTTCTGTTCCAGGTGAAGACATTCGGACCGCTGGCTGGAGGAAATGGGACCAACCTGGAGGAATATGTGGCGCTGGTGGATGGAGTGTATCTGAACGAAGTCATGCTGCAAATGTGAGTGTGGGCAAGCGCTGCCTTGGGGGAATTTTTTGCTGGTTTATTTCTCTTCTATTTTTTTTTTTTTTTTTTACTGCCTTATGAAAAACCCTTTTGCCCCTCTCGCCGTATTGACCTTGGTGAATTAATTTCATTTGTGCGTGACACGGTCATGTGGGGAGTTAAGAGGAGACTTGGGATGGTGGCAGATCCTGACTGCACAGCTGAATGTCCAGGCAATGTATTTGCAGGATGTATAGTGTGATACAGGCTGAATCATCGTTGTGGAACTTACTGGAAAATGGGATGACTGTAAATAGTTTCCCAGATTTCCACTGAGAGGCATAGAAAAGGTTCATCCTGCTGTAAGTCGTGCTCATGAAGAAAATTTTGAATAAATTTGCTTGGCTAATAAGGTTCTAATCCATATCTTGGTGCACGTGACATGCAACTTAAGGATGGCATGCAACTCACACGGGGTTGTTCGCTGAGCAAAAGGGCTGCCCCTAAACTCCTTCCTCTTCATTTTCCACGCTTCCAAATTGGAGTGGCTAGCAGCTGAGCAGTAAAGCTGATGCTTTAATTGTGAGTGTGGGGTGTGTTTTCCGAGAAGGAACGTTTTTACGTGGGTTTATAAACTGTTTATTGACAACTCTGGTTGTCAGAAAAAATCCTTTACAGTGGCTCTCTGTTAATCATAATTTTGACTGGAATGTTGCCCACTACTGTCATGCTGGGGAGTAACACTTGTCAGGTGTCTAGTGATATAATCATAAAAGTGTTACTAGTGCAAAAATTTCTACATACCTTTTTTTTTAAATGATCTTTTGAGTCTCTGCAGAGAAATACATCAATTTTCTGTATAGGTATGAAAAGCTGTGGGTTTATGGGTGGCTGGGTACATCTATCAGTGCACGAGCAGCTTGTGTTGGCAGCTGTTCCTCAGGAGCACTGCTCAGGCATGGGCATCCTCTTGCTTTGCTTACAGCTTTTATTCATATTTAGTGCTTTAAAAGTTTTTAGCCTTGGTGTTCTGCTTGTGTAACTAATCTGTGTCAGAAGAGCAACCCTTTACCACATGTAAGTAAGTGTGAATTCACAGCCTTTTGAAACCAGTATTTTCTTGGTCACCTAACTTCTGTACAACTAAGACTCCCAAGTATTCACTTCTCATATTCACTATAATGGTGAAGAACATGGAAAACGTGGTGGAATGGAACTTTTTGAAAAGAAAGAAAACAATTTGGAGTGGATTCTGGCACACTTCAATAAAAAGTTTAAGTGATGCATTTCACTGAAGAATACTATTTTTATTTTACAACTTCTTTCTTTTTTTCTTGGACTACATAAAGTAGCTAGATTGTCAGCTGTGGCCACGCATTTGATACGTAGAGCTTCTATGGGATAAAAAAGTTGGACAGCTGGAAGGCAAATTTAGCACTGGAACAAGGTGATTTTGAAGAATATAGTCTTAATTTTTTTTCAGTCAATTTTTTTTAGTACTGAGTATAAATTGATACCTGGTGCGTGCATGTAAAATGGAAAAGTGGAGGAGGAACATTCCCATGCCTAAGGCACCGTGTGTTGAATTTGGCTGTGACTTTGTGCATCCTTGATCCCATGCCATGATTACTGAACTTAGGAAGCACTGGGTGTCTGTGTGTAAAAAAATACATATTGGAGATGTGCATTTAAAAAGAAAATAATTTGGTATTCATAACAGTGAAAACAACCTCAAACTGGAGGTGTGTGGCAAAGCATTGGTGTACAAATCAAATTAATTTTAGAAATATGTCACTACACTGGCAGTGAACTTTTGGGAACTGAGATGTATCACGGCTGGTTACTGCTTAGAATTGCCTCTTAGAACTCTGTTCACATTTTGGGAAAGTTCAGTTTGTTTTGGGTTTTGTGCCAGGATTGAAATAGGGGAAAAATTGTTTCATGTTTTGCAGTGTGGTCCTGTCTGTGGTGAAGTCACTGTGGAAACCCGTGTTAACTTTCAGTCCTGCTCACTTTGAATATCCATCTATTAAGCAAGTGTCTTTATTTGCAAAAGAACACTTCAAAGATCTGGCTCTAACTAATCATCAATACAGATTATTTCCAGTGTTTTCCCTTTTTACTTCTCTTCTCTTCTCCTTTCATTCTTTACTACCATATATTGAGGAAATGTGGCAGAAAAATTGGTGTCATGTGACTTCAAAAGAAGTGTGTTTTTCTTCAGAGGTTGGGGTTGAGGAATTGTTTTTGGTTGTTTGTTTTGGTTTTTTTTTTGAAGCTCAGTGACTTCACATGAAAACTAGAGGTCTGTGGTTAGGAGCTATGGCAGTGGGGGCTGTTAGAGGTGCTGTGGTCCTGCTGCACATTTACTTTAATACTTACTTTATTCTTGCCAAATGTTGAAAAAACAAATTCTGTGACCATAAAAGTGAGTGTTAATATTGGATTAGGCATGGTTTGTAAACAGTTACACAGTCCAAAAAAAAAAAAAAAAAGGCTTTGTTAGTTAGAGAAGGTTTTTTTGTTCAGTTAGAAAAGAGTTAATCCTGCCCTCCATCATCTACAAGTGAGAGTCCAGCATTTGTTTCTCCTTGTGCTTGTCTGGATTAAACTTTATTTTCTACAATTGTAGTGATTCAGACAGGGAAGAGAGGTGTCAGCACTGGAATAGTTGCAGGATGCTGATGGTGCTGATGAGATTGTGGGATTTATCAGCACTGAGTTTATTAGTACCTCATCCGTGAGAGAATTCATTGCATTCCTTGTATGGTTTTTTACCTTTGGGTGTTTCAGGACATGTGAAAATTGCACAGATTCTGTTCAGTGTCCAGTTATATCTGAAAGGCTCTTCCTTGCTGGAGATACTGGAGGCCAATTTAATCATTGTTTTTTAAATTTTATTTTTAATTAAGGAGAGTCCCAGTGTTTATAGTATTAGCCCCTAACTTGAGAGAATGTCTCTAATTTCCTGTTTAAATTTAGGTCCCGTTCTTCAGAAGTATCAGGTTACTTACCTTCTGCTGGGATCAGTCAGTATCTGATACTTGTGCATAGAAACCCATCTGTCTTTCTAAATCTGAGCCTTTATCTTTGTGCTCTTTGATACAAAAAAGGGGTCATGCTTCTTGGAAATAAATCAGAGCACCAGAGATCACTGCAGTGGTGTTCTGCCATGGCAGGGAGGTGGAGGGGCATGCCAGGAATGCTTCATACCTTCCCTGCACCTCTGTATCATAATGTTTCTAAAATTATCTTTATAAAGTGCTCATAGGCTGGAGTGGAATCTGTTGTGTGTGGTACTGAAATCAGTGAACCAGTGTAATTCAATGGATTAGTCACCTGTTGCACACCCAAGTACAACTGCAGTAAAATAATCCTCAGTTGTCCTGGAGATATTTTTCCAGAACCTGATTAACATCACCTCAGGTTTTTTTTTTAATGGTCTTAGCACTGTACTGTTTATAAACTCCTCTGATCCAAAAAAAAAATCACAGTATTTTTACAGAAACACTCACTTTGAGTGGTATTTATTTCCATTTTTGATAGGTCTTGTTCTCTGATACTTGTTAACTGAATTCCAATAGGATTGGGTAAGAAATGATGAAAGTCTTTTAGTATGAGCTGTGGTTCCCCAACTGACAAGGGTCTTGCTGGTTCCTTTGAATAAAATGAGACAGCTGCAAGTAGTTACAAGATGGGGGCTTTCATTGCATTTACCACCACCATTAATATTTGGTCAAGCAACAAAGACTTGAAACAGTATTTTAGCTCTAATTGTTTTATTTTACTGTGCTTTGTATTTGTGGAAATAAATCTGGTTTGAAGGAACTGTTGGACCCAGACTGTGTGCAGAGTTGGTGATGTACAGAACCAAACTCTGGAACTGAGTTAATTTAATGCACTGTCTGGAAAACCTGGCTGCTTTCATCCCAGTGTGCCATTTATAACTTTAGTCTTAATTACATAAATTAAGTGATACTTTCCATATCAGTCTTTGCATCCAGACATGCTGAAAACTACTTCAGAGATGAAGTCTTTTATTCTTCTCCTGGGTTTTTCCCCAGTGTTTTTCTGACTGAATCCACTTGCAGGCCTTTGCCACCATCAGATTTTCCAGGTGGACTGGCTGCCTGTTTGCTCCCACCACGCTGCTGGTGTGTGCCTGGAATGTGGACAGCTTCCTTGGCTGCTCCTCTGAGCTCTCAGCCTTTCACTTGTGTGCTTTTTTCCAAGCAGTTGAGCTTGCCAGCCCATACACTCCTGGCTTGCCTATATCTTCTTTCCCTGAGAGCTGGGACTGGCTCTGCAGTGCTGAGCCAGCTGCCTGGCTCTGGGAGAGAGTGCAGCAGCAGCAGCCACTCCATCCAGTTAACTCCTTCTTGGGAAGGCCAAGGAGGGAGAGGCAGCTCCAGCCGGGCTCTGGCTGGGTGGGGAGATGGAAAAGAGTTTGGAGGAAAAGGAAAACGGCGACTTTGGCAGCAGAAGTAGGAACACGTGTTTTAGAAAGAAGGTCAGATATTATTAAGTCCACAACTTTTTCACTTTGTGGTATAGATTCACACTTCCCAGATGTGCTCTGTCAGGTTTTCCACAGGTGCAAGGTGTCACTTGGGCTTTGTGAGAGTTGTTGTTCCCAAGAGTAGTTCTGCAGCAGCAGGGCTGAGATTTTTCTTCAGGAGAGCTGGATTTGTAACAGTCGACTTTTTTTTGTGAAGAGGCAAATTCTTTAATAAGTGGTCTGGCACAATGTGCACCGGGACTGTTGGAATGAAAGCCTTTTGATTAGAGAACAGGAAAACGTGATGAATAATTGTACACCATCAGCCTGCAGTGAGCTTGGAATTGGGCAGGTGAGGTGGACACAGGCTGATACCTGCACTTGTGAGGTGCTTGGGTTTTTCATAGATAAAGGGAAAAAAATGCATGAGTTGATCAAGCTTGAAGTGCTTGTCTCTGTTTGACTAGTTTTTGTTATGTTTTTGTACCCTTTTCCACAGCTGATGTCCTCTTCCCTT